GTCAATAACAATACCAACCCAAGAATATTGAGGTATTGGTATTGAGTATTGAGTATTGACACTCAATACTTTCTTGGGTATTGAGTAGTGTTTAGGATGAAAATGGACCGAGGAAACAAACTGGGTGATTCTTTATGTCGTTTTAACAACTGTTAGACTCGAAAAACACACAGCTTCGACTAGCTTGTTCTGTAGCACTCCATTTGTTTCCTCATTCCGTTTGAAGAATGGCTAGAGTCAATACCCAAGAAAATATTGACTCTCAATACTCAATACCAATACTGTCTTGGTATTGGTATTGACACATACCTAGTCCTACGAGAGATACTTTCTTTTGATGACTGTCTATGTATAGGGCGGTGTTCGTTACTTACAGACATTGTTGTAGTTTATTCTCTTGTTTTGTGTGCGAAAACGAACTGCAATTACAAATCTTTGTATTTCTCTCTCATCAAGGTTTTTTCTCACTCTGTTATTCGTTTGTATCTCTGTGCTATCTCTCTTCCTACTCTTTTCAAGTGAAATGTTTTCGATTTGGTTGAGCAAGAAATGGACTTTTTCTCATGTATACATTCTATGCCTCTCTTGCCTTTTCTCTCTCTCTTTCACTCTCTGTGTTGTTTCTTTAATGCTTATTACCACCGTCCATTGTTTTCTCTCGTCATCGCTGTATCAACAACTACAGTGTAGGTTTGTTGATGACAATAAATTCATTAGGTTTCTGCGCTGCCCATATAAAACTGAAACGTACGTGAGACGCGCTGTGGGGCGTTTTAAACGCGCCTACAAGCGATTATGTTACAAACTTGGAAAAAATAGCGCTCAGACGCGTTTTCAAAGATTCATCTAGATGCGTTTGAGTTCAAAGTCGCGTCCCAAACACGGGTCTGAATGCGTTCGGACAAACAACCGCGTCTAGAAGCATGTGCAGATGAAACGCGCTTTATAATAGTACAAGATAGAAAGACAGTCGAAGGCGTCTCGAGCAGAGATGGCCACGGTTCGGGTTTTTCAAAATTTAAACCGAACCGAAACCGAAATGACTAAAACAGAACCGAACCGAAACGAACCGAAGCTGTTTTAAAATGAACCGAACCGAACCGAACCGAACCGAAAAAAAAATTCTGAAATTTCACTACAGACAAATAAACTGCATTTTCTATATTTGAGCTTGTTCGTCTTATTCTGAATGATTATTGTCTATTATATTTATATTAATATAAATCTAGATTCTTTTAGCTATTATTCTTTTGCCTTATTCATGTTTGAAAATAGTGAAGTTTAAATAAATGTATCGTGAGGGTATGGGTATTTGTTCATTCATATTCATCCATCCACTACATCCACACCCACACCTTTGAAAATCTTAAAATATCTTTCCAGATCTTCAATATCGCTTTGGGTTTTTGAAGAAGCTTATTAATTAAAAATTACGAAAATAAATAAGAAACCATAGGAGTCTCTTCTGAAAACTTTGTACGCGTTGACGAAATAGAAGATCAGGAGTCTTCTAATGCGTAGGGGGTTTAATACGATTTTTCTTCTTTTCGTATTGCCGATAAGATTCGTGGCTCATGTAGTATTCTTTTTCTGATCTTCATATTACCTGTAATATTCTTTGAGTATTATTCTTAACATTTGTGAAATTTAGCTTTATGATTTCAAAAAAAAATAATAAATAATAAATAATAAAATTATACACAGTATACGGTTATTTTAATTCTTTAATTTAATAGAGTAGGGCTAGGGTAAGAAAGAAAATTGTAGGGTAGGATAACAAAATTCATACAGTTGTTGGATACTAGATGAAATATATCATTGGTTTCTTCACCGCATGCTTTTCTTTGGTGAAGAAAGGCAAAAAAATATATGAATACTTTTATTGCTACTTAAGATATTTGCTGACTACTCTCTTGACTTTTTTCATTTCTATACACTAATTTTAATTTCAAAATTTTAGCTAAGAACCGAACCGAACCGAAACCGAAATGTCTAAAACCGAACCGAACCGAAACCGAGATTTCTTTGAAAACCTGCGAACCGAACCGTGGCCATCTCTGGTCTCGAGTTACGATTGCGTTCGCTCGCGTTTCTAAGATGCATTTGGACGCGTTCTGATTAACAGTGGCATCTAGACGCATCTAAAGCTGAAACGTGTATAACAATTGTAAAGGTAAAAACAAGATGAAACACTTTATTTATGATCGCGTGTAGACGCATCCATACAAGCTCAAGACCGTTTCTTGCGCAATGCCTTTCAAATTTTATAATCGTTTCAATTAAAGATATATCCTATAAATCAGTTCCTACGTATCTTTTAATGTAGAAAGGAATAATTTTGATGAGAGCAGTAATAAATTTTGATGACAGTAGTAATAAATTTTGATGGCAGTAGTAATAAACTTTGATGAGAGTAGTAATAAATTTTGATGAGAGTAGTAATAAATTTTGAAAATTTCATTTTGCTTCTTATTCTAGAAAACCGAAAATGATAGATTTTAGTTAAGTTTATAAGAATAAGAGTATTCAGAACTATGTTGTCCATTTTATCCATTTAACGATTATCACATCAACGTATTTTAAGTCTGAAACATGTACGAAACATACATATGTATGTCTATAGTTATTTTCTAGTTTGAACAATTTTGGTACTCTTTCCTTTTACTTTTCATTTACACTTATATTCCTTACTATTGAGATTTAGGAACTTTTCTATTTTTATGTTATGCCGTGAAATGCTTGAAGAATAGAAAATACTTCATTTTCACCAACTCGATATGCTGATGTTATTTATGCAATAATTTTGATAGAGTGAGGTCGTTGCATTATGTAAAAATTTCAACTCATTTTAACTGAAAATTTACTCTTTCGAAATAAAATAACTGCAAAACCATCACGAAAACAAATAATAAGATTATATACTGATTGTTAATAGTTTTTCAAATTAAATTCGTTCATATTGATATTGCATATCTTTATTATATCAAGTTATGCCTTATTTTATTATATCTTCCAGATGTCAATTTATAAGACAATCTATGAGCCTTGGTATTACTAATAAATAAAATTCTATTATATTCTACAACATCATGATTTCGTAATATTTTCTTTCAAATTCTTTTCAACTAAAAATTTCATTTGCGTTTTAGTTTTGATTTTGATAAATTAATAAAATAGTTGAAACGTGAAACTAATACAATGAAATTATCGTCTTGTAAAGGAAAATATTTTTTATTGTCTTATGTTATAGATAAATATAAAATAGCTAAGCAATATAAATAGATTCGGCATATTTATTTTTTTATTCTTCAAAAGTTTGTAGTAAGCTTATAGTGCTACAATGCTAAACTTTTCCAATAGTTTTATGTAAAAAGAGGTCATTTGTTTATGAAAAATTAATTTCGTCCAATTTTTCTAAATTTATTTCGAAAAATAAATAAATAAAAATTGCGCATAATACGAAATAATAGTTTACTGTGTTCTAGATAGTGCATCATGCAAGATTCGACTATTATTAAAAAAAAAGATACCAGTATAAAATAGTTCTTTTTTTATTTTAATGATTGCGTTCTGTTATTCAACTAGTCATGTTAGTTATAAGCGTTTGAAAAGATATTGGTGACAGAAAAACACTGTGACGAGTAGATATAGCTCAGACGTAAATAGATTATTCCATAATTCGAACTTCTTCTGTGGTAGCCTATATCACCGCGCTTGTCTTCCATGTCGTAAGTTAAAATCATTGTTCCGTATCATACTTCTAAGAAAAAGCTGACCATCACATGGCTATGGCGGTGTCGCAGCGCGAATCTGCGAGAACAAGTTGTTCATTTTTTTCCTAAATTTCTTCAAACGCGTTCGAGCGCATCTGATGCGTTTCACCTGCTATTACAAAACGCTTTCAGACGCATCCGGCACACGCGTTCAGATGCATCAGATATTTCATTTTAGCTGCGTTCAGTTCGTATCGCTCTCATCGTTTCAAACGCGCTTCAAGAGCGTTTAGCTCTGCGTTTGACCCAAAAACTTTCACATGGACATACCTTAACAGTTATACACCATTTTCAAATTCATATCTTTTATATGCACTTTTACATGCTGCATTGAAAAACAATCTCTTTGAGTATACAGTTTTGTAGAGCTCAACGAGCTCTATCTAATCATAGATAAATGAAGAGAAAAACAATTTACTCAATTTTTGAATTACGCACATCTTACACATATCCGAAAATAAAATCTGTTTATCATAGTTCCCATCAAACAAATTAGCATTTACTCATTAAGAATTAAAATGAACGCCTTTATAATTCTTTTTCTGTGTATAAGAAAAAGTTCGATATTGCAGTTCACCGATGAATTCATCAAGATTTGCATCAACAACATTTATATTCCTTCCGTATGTCAAGTATATTTATCAAAATAATAAAAAAATATTTGAAACAGAACAAAACAAAATACGGAGGTGTTTTCGGCTTAAAGTCTGACATAATAGAAAAAGAAGGGTGTGGGTGTGATTCAAGAGAAGACCCACACCCACTATCATATTCACATGAATGCATACGAATCTACACAGTTACATTCATCGCGTTACGAAATGTGTCGATTCACAATATGAGATGAATAATATTTTTTTATTCGCCTCTCCGTTCTTTGTTATACACGCTTTTTTCATTTCAATTCCCAGTTAACTTGGTTTTTTCTACCTCGTGTCGTTTTCATATCAATGACAACTTTTTCTGTTTTGATTCATTCGTGGATAGAGACACATCGCATTTGCTTCGCTTGCTATACTACAGTTCAAAATCCAGGACAACTAATTTGCAACTGATCTTTGTTACTAGCAGATACCATTGTAGGATTTTATTTGATATACGCTTGTCTTTGTTTTAGATCAGTTAGGAATTGATAGCTAACCTACAACAGTTTCACACGTGTAGTAAAAGTTGAAATCATATAATATTCTGAGGAAAATTTTTGGAATCTAGTGACAATCATTTACGATGTTTAGGGCAATAGGTATTGATTTAGGTACATCGTATTCATGTGTCGGTGTCTTTCGAAATGGAAAAGTTGAAATCATTCCTAACGATCAAGGAAATCTTACAACGCCATCCTATGTTGCATTCACTAATGAGGAAATATTAATTGGTGATGAGGCTAAAAATCAACTACCTATGAATCCATACAACACAGTCTTCAACGTTCAACGTCTTATTGGACGTAAATACTCTGATGCAACAGTTCAAGCTGATATGGAGAATTGGCCATTTAAAGTAATTAATGGCAATGGAAAACCTAAAATCCAAGTTGAATATAAACACGAAACAAAAGTTTTTACACCTGAAGAAATTTCTTCATTGATCTTAACAAAAATGAAAGAAATAGCTGAAAATTATCGTGGTCAAAAAGTAACCGAAGTTGTTATCGCTGTTCCAGTGTATTTTAATAATGCCCAACGTCGAGCAACACAAGATGCTGCTGTCATCGCTGGTCTTAATGCTTTACGTATAATTAATGCACCAACCTTAGCTGCTATTGCTTATGGTTTAAATAGCAAAGTTTCAGCTGAACGCAGCGTGTTGATTTTTGATTTGGGTGGTGGCACCTTGAATATTTCAATTCTAAGAATCGAGGAAGGAATTTATGAAGTTAATTCAACAGCTGGTAAGAAAAATCTTTGCTTTCCTATTCAATTTTGAGACATTAATTTTAGGTTACACACATCTGGGTGGTGAAGATTTTGATAATCGAATGGTTCAATATTTCATTCAAGAATTTAAAAGAAAATATGGTCAAGATTTAAAAGAAAATAAATCTGCTGTTCGACGATTACGTACTTATTGCGAACGTGCTAAAGTATAAGAATTATTTCGTATCTTGCGAAAAAAATCAAAAGAAATTTAATTACTTTTTAGCGTATATTATCAATATCATTACAAGCATCTATTGAAATCGAGTCATTACATGAAGGCATTAATTTTTATTCCACAATAACTCGTGCACGTTTCGAAGAAATCAATGCTGATTTATTCCGTACAATACTTGAACCTGTTGAAAAAGCTTTACGCGATGCCAAAATGGCTAAATCAAGTATCCAAGAAGTAATTCTTGTTGGAGGCTCAACACGTATTCCAAAAGTACAAAAACTTGTGCAAGATTTCTTTGGTGGTAAAGCACTTAATAAATCAATGAATCCAGATGAAGCTGTTACGTATGGTGCTGCTATTCAAGCTGCTATACTTACAGGTGATAAATCTGAAATTATTAAAGATTTACTTTTGCTTGATGTCGCACCATGCTCATTAGTAAGTTCGTTCGAAACAATAAACAATAATTCTCGCGTAAACCTTTCTTTTTAAAGGGTATTGAAACTGCTGGCGGTGTTATGACAGCATTAATCAAACGAAATACAACAATTCCGACAAAACAAACCCAAACAGTCACAATCTCTATCGATAAACAATCGGTTATACCAATTGCAGTTTATGAAGGCGAAGGCTCAATGACAAGAGATAATCATTTATTAGGAGAATGCAAATTATTGGATATTCCACCAACATCCGGAAGCGTACCAGAAATTGAAGTTACATTTGATATTGATGCAAATAGTATATTAAATGTATCAGCTATGGATAAAAGTTCAGGAAAAGAAAATACAATTACAATTACAAATAATAAAGAACGTTTATCAAACGATGAAATTGACCGTATGATTTCTGATGCTGAAAAATATAAAAAAGATAATGAAATACGACGTGAACGTATTATTGCTAAGAATTCACTGGAATCTTATTGTTTTAATATGAGAGCAAACATTATTGATAACAAAATGGTGAATACAATCGGTGATTATAACAAGAAAAAAATGCTCGATGCTATCAAAGATACATTGGCATGGCTGGAAGCAAATCAAGTAAGAACTAGTTGATTTCTTTTGTTGTGCAACCTTTTCTCTTTTCTCTCGTAAAGTTTGCTGCAAAAGAACAATTTGAAGCGAAGTTAAAAGAAATTGAACAAATATGTACATCGATATGGACGAAATTCTGTCTAGATGAACATGTGGCTGAAGAAAAGTCAGAAGGTAGGTTTTTCTTTCTGTAGAATATTTTCATCTGTTGACGGCAACTCCTTCTCGAGTCCTTCAAGAAAGGTTTGGCGAAAAATTTTGAAATGTTTACTGTCGACAGATCTGATCTAGTGATACAGAATTTGTCATTAACTGAAAATTTTGAAATGATTCTTTCTGTGAGATATACGGAATACAAAGGCCCAAGGAGACCTACAGCCTTGCCTTTGCAAACAACATGAATCTATCTTTTAAGTCTACACTGTAAAAAGAAACGTAGAATATTAAACAAAAAAAGGGTTTATGAAAGTGCAACGTGTCGCAAACCCTTTTCAACCGTTTATCAACGAGTCATAAACCCTGTTCTGTTATAAACCCTCTAGAAAGGGTTTAATACGGAGTTTATTATCGTTAAATATGTTTTCTGGAAGGTTTATTGCAAGGTTGATTAGATTCATAAATGCTTAAATGGATTGCGACACGTTGCACGTTCATAAACCCCTAAAAAGGGTTGATAATTCACATAAACGTTCTCATAAAACCTTCGAAACTCGGTCTAAAAAGGGTTGATTAAAATACTATCCCCATGAGCCCCTCTCAGAA